TCTTTTTTTTTTTTTTTTTTTTTTGTCTTTTTCCGTGTCCGGCAACGGATCGCAACCCTCAGTGTCGCGCCTGTACCGGACCAGGGACCGGCAACGGGATCGCAACCCCCGGTGTTGCTCCCGCGCCTCGCTCAGCCAGTGAGCGGGAACCGGTCTGCATGCGGGATCCGAACCCTCGGGCGGGAGCGCCGCCACGCTTCCCAAGCGGAGCACTATCCAGTGCACCACCGGGCCGGCCCCAACTCACATTTTCTTATTCTCAGTTTCCACATCTGTAAAATAGTGAGAAGTATGATTTAAGGAGAATACAGAATAACGGCTCTAGTTAAGATGATACTACATAAGCATGTTGAAATACATTTCAGTTCCTTTCTCCATTTTCTTCACTTTTCTCCCCAATCAGAATTGGTAGAAATGTTGGTAAAAGAAGCACATTTACTCTCTACAGCAGGAAATCATCTATGCATGCTTTCATTATTAATTGTTATTAATGATAACACTTGCCATTTACTGAGAACTTACTAAATACCTTCAACTTAATTTAATAGCTCTTGATTATATTTATAATACCTCACAATTTGTATTTTAGTTATCCATATGCTTATATTCCTCTCACCAAACTGAAAGCTAATGAGAAGGCAGCTAATCCATTGGACATAGAAGGACCTGACATATCTTCAGTATTCAATACCTGCCTTTGGTGAGAATGGATGCACTGAGGCTTAAGGACACTAAATCAAACAAAATCCATAGTATCTCTCTCTTGAAGAATAAAAAAAATATTAACCAGTTAATTAATTCTCTTTTTATTTTCTGTATGTATCTTTGATGATGTCTCTGAGATCATTTCAAAGAGAAAGAAGTGATCCAAATTTGAGAAAAATGCAGAAAAACAATTTTTCCCAGACTTAATAAATGTATCATTGTGTGGACATACCCATGTTACATTTCACCATCCCAGGGGTATGCAATATTATTCCTAACCATTAATATAGTTGTGGCCCATAAAATGTCACCAGCTCCAAGAAGAAAATCACATCTTTCATATAATGTCATTAAGATGAGTGTCTACATACATCCCATTATCTTTTGTTGTTTGCAGTGTGATATTTTAGCAAAGATTCTGAAAAGAATATGATTTTTGTAGATTTGAAGAGCTAGTATTTGACATTATATTTAGTTTATGAAAAAGTTCTCCCTAACAGATTAAGGAAAGAATAGGAGAACTTTTAATATTTTGAACCCATCTTTTTAAATTAAATGAAATCTGAGAAGTGTTGGAACAAAGCTTTTAAATAAGAAAAGAAAAAGTAGCAACATTAGAATCATATTGCAGTAGTTTTAAAATGAAAGAAAACCACTACAACAAGAACAAAAACCTCAGTCTTCTAAACTGGATTAAGAGAATACGTCTAGACATCAAGTGCTTATGCACTAAGCATGTCAAATTCTTTTCTTTTAATTCAACAGTCTAGAAGAATTTTAATTCAAATATCCTTGCACATCATCTAACCCTGAGGGAAGCTTGTAAATCAGATGTGACAATATTTCTGATATATTACATGACAAAGTTGAGAAGAGTAAAAGAAAAGAAACAGGGATATAATTTTACAAAGCAGGATTAAGCATTTGTTTATCCCTAGCTTCCAATCTTTGCTTTCTCAAATGTTAGAAGGTAAACATGTTGCTTAACTTCATTTCCTGATTTGTCCAATTAATATGATAGCATTTAGCTTAGTTACTTCCTGGGATGCTGTGAGAATGAAATTAAATGATAGACTGTGAAAGTACTTTTAAAACATCGGAGTTTTATACAGATTTATAGGGTAAAGATAGAAGTGTATTCTCCCTCCAGAACAGAAAGTCAACCATTCTGTCATTCATCATAATTGTATTGAACATAGATTCCATTGGAAACTGTCATTTTTCTTCCAAGTATTTTAATTTTGGTGTTTTCTATAGGTGCTACCTTTTTAAAAGGAATGATGTATTAAAAATATTTTTGAGGGGGTTGTGGTGGTTTTTAATAACTAGTTCAAAGAGTACTGAAATAGAAATAGAGGCAATGATTATAGTTCTAGGCCACTTAGCTTCTCTGGACTCATTTAGTCATTTGAAATATGAATGAGTTGACCAGATGACCACAGAAGTCTTTCCAGATGTCATATTCCATGTTCATAATTTTTTCTCTGGAGATCATGTACTAGGCTTTATTAATGGGATCTCTGAGACTCCTTTGATGAATGTTAATCACTGCTGTCACTCCATGGTCAAGGAAGAGTTACTGTCCTCATTATTTTGACCCTCCAGAGTCATTCTTAAATCAACTCATTCAGAGAATACTCCGTCTTGGAAAGAAGATCCCACAATTTCTCTTAGTCATCTCTTCTAAGGATTAATGTAGTCATTCAAAAGAAACATCCTTGTTCACCAAACTAACCTAAATTTCCTGTTGTCAAACTTACTTAGGTAAACATGGAGAACGTCTTATCATCATTGCATATTTTTAAAACATTGCATTTTACTACATCATACTGTTTCTGGACACTCTTATGCCTAATGACCAATTTAATTATTTTCCTATTTTATATAAAATTATATTTCATGCCATTTAATTACTGTTGTAATTTCTGCCTGGGCTCTCCTTGGAGAGTTGCTTAGGAAGCGCGATGTGGTGTGGTGGAAAGAGGCAGGAGGTCATGCCTCAGATCTAGTTCCAAACTGCCTGCTCTGATGCTTTAAGCAGAAGTGACCTCTTTCTCCTTTAAGCCATCATGTAGCTCTCTTGTACTTGCTGCATTGTTATTTATAATACCTGATATATATTGCACGAGATACTCTTTTAAGAAGTTTGCATGCCTTTTTCTCATTTTAATCTCACAGTAGCTCATGAACTAGAAGTCACACAGTTAATAAATGGTAAAACCTTGTAATATAACTCCAGAGTCAACCCTCTTAATGACTATGCCTCCGCTTCTCACATGCCTATGCTGTCTGTTACTAGTATGCCCTGTAGTTGAGAGCACATACTCTGCAGCTAGACTACCCAGGTTCAAAACCCAGCTCTGCCACTTCCCAGCTGTGTGACCTTGGAAAATTTTAAACCTCTCTGGGCCTCAAATACATCCCATCTATAAAATGAGGATAATAATAATAATATTTATATCCTAGGATTTTTGTGAAAATTGGATGTAAAGATTACAAGTCCCAGTACATGTTAATTACTTATCTCGCTGAACCATGAGCTTCTTGAGGGCAAGGGCTGTGCATTTTTCATCTCTCTTCTCCAGACCCAATAGCAGTTCTGAACACAGTGAATTAACAAATATTTTAAAAAATGAATGAATGAATGAATGAATAACAGAGAATTATATTGGATTTGAACGTTGACCGGATTTATCCTTCCTATGTGCCTGTAATAATTTCACTGTGACAGGTGAATAAGAAGTATATTTCAAACTAAGGTTCTAACTAATTTTCTTTCCTTAAATTTGATGGCAGACTCCAGGGAAGAGATTGTGCCTTTAATGTGTCTGCACCGAATTAAAAATTGCAAATATTATGTTGGGATCTCCATCTATTTCCCTCTGTCACTGAAGTTACCTCGAGGTATTTTGACCTGAAAGAGATCATTGAGATTGTTTGTGTATTCACATGTGTTTAGGTGACAGGCAAGCAGGATAACACCTTCTGACCTTCTAAGGGATGATCTGAATTGATTCTCTCCTCATGGAGAATTTTAAGGTAGATGGCAATGCCTTTTACCTAATTATTCTCAGTGTGTGTGCTCTCTGTTGTCATTTTCTAGTCTTTTGACAGTAGCAGGGAGGTAACAGCATTCAATGTCATTTATCTTAATGTCTTCAGGGCTTCACAAAGAAATGTGAAATATAGCACCAAAGATCTTACACAAAGCTCTGTGTTTTTTTCCACTGAGACCTATCAAGGTGGATTCTTGATGAGATAAAGTGGACCCAGAGGAAGTGTAGTTCAATGTTCTCTTGCAGAGTTGAAAACATACATCAAATTGAATTTCTTCATTATTCTCCCCACCCTCCAATATTCATTATGGGAATGACAGGGAAAAGCTCTTATTTTGTGCAGGTACAATTGCAGCTTTAACAATGCCTATTTCTAATGGATCCCACCTGTGAGGTCTAGCCAGCTTGATGGCATTGGGTTGGGCCACTGTCTCTTATCCCATTGCCCTTTTCTTGACTGTATATCTTCTCTGAGTTACTAGAATGTAGTTAGGTTGTAGGTCTCCAAGCTCATCTGATTAAGCCAGCAATTTTTCAGACACGAGAACTGGGGTATAAAGAGGATTAAATGGTCAAGGTCATTAGGGCTAGAATTAGAACAGAGGCATTCCCTCTTCTGAGCAACCCTTGAGACTTACACGTACTTCTACTATTGCATGCATGCTACAGCATTTGAATTGTTTCCCTGACGTCCTCCAACCTCTACTCTAATGATAGTAGATGAAGATTTTGTGGAAGGAAAGGTCTATGTGTATTCTTCTAAATGACCTTGCCTTGCAACAGTGAAAATTTGGCCCCAACAGACACAGTCTAAAAAAATGAAAAGTCAACCCCTGCAGCAATCCTTCCTTGATTATCCTAGTTTGAATCATTTCTGTTTTTATTCTGTAATTCAAAATATTTATTCAGTGCCTCCTATGTCTCAGCTACTATAGAAAATAATAGGGATACAGAAGACAGACATGGTCCCTGCCCTCACAGAAATGTTAATCACAGTACTTATCACTCATTTTGATAATTATGGTTTGTATGTTCATCCTCTCTTAGGTTTCAAAATTCATGAGAGCAAGTTCTGTGCCTTGTCTATCATTGAGTCTCTAATGCCTGTCATGATACTCAGCTTATAGTAGCAGTCAGTTTTTAAAAAGTAAACACAGCTCATTTTGGTATCTTTTCCAACATAACATGTTGTGAGAAAGAAAAATCTTTAGCATTTTATATATTTTAGAATATATTTAGAACTATAGCAAAAGCTACTACATACCATTTTGAGCAACTGCTATATAACAACTCTTCAGTATTTTACATTACATCATCTTTAATACGAGATTATAGGATTCTCATTCTTTATGAGAACAGGTTTTCTAACTGGATTAATGACTTGCCCAAAGTCACAAGGCTTCTACGTGTCAGGACCAGGACTTGAGTCTGCATCTTACTCACTGCAAAGCCTATGACCTTTCCATTATACCACTTGCATTTCTAATAAAGGCAAAGCTAAGGAACAATCTTCTCCATTTTTAAAAATAAGAAGCATAAACATTTAAGCTTCTAAGGTAGCTATGGGTGCTTTTAACCAAGCAAAAGACAGATCCTGTTAAGCAGAACTTACCCAATAATCACAGTAAGAGATACCAACCTATTATTGAATGTATTAGACTTACGAGGGTCCCAATATAAAGTCTGAAATCTAAGCAACAATTTTGTTGAGAAAAATAGCACCACTGCTTTTACTTATTAAGAAACCATCTTTCTTTAGAAATCGCAAATCAAAGTAAATGAGATTAATTTAAATTTTGCAAGAAATCCATAAAAGTAATTGTTGACCCTTTTTAAAGCCTTCAGTAATTGAACATGTTTAAAAGTATTGGGCTTTGGGGGGAATATGTTTTCCTAATTGTTAGAGTCCAGCTTTTATTACCTGACTTGAAGATCATATTTCAGATAGTACAAAATGGATAATTGCATAGCTAAACTCTTATTATTTGAAACAACATCAAAATTTGGGTCCAGCTTTCTTAATATTATCTCATGTAGTTCTGAGTATATCATTGGCAGATCAGTTACAACACTAAAAACAATCGAATCCCACCAACTTTTAATTAATAAATGGAATGATCAGTAATGTGGCTACGTCTCTGTTGACTTTACCTGGGAAAGATCCTAGCAATACAAATGGATTTGCAGAAGAAATGGGGTTTTTTATGTCCCATGTGTAATGATTACAGCTACAAATTCACCAAGATTCATTGACTCATTGTAATAAATGGGACCTAGATGATATTAATAGCTAATATTAATGAAAAGCTTTTTAAGTTCCAGGAATTGTGATAAGTACTCTTCATTGACTTAATTTATTCCTTCCAACAATTCTGCAAGGAGATCACAATCAACAAGTAAGGTGGAGGAGTAAGGATTTAACCCAGCCATTCATCCACAAGAATTTACATACCTAAATCCTGTGCTACATTGATCACACAGAACCAGCTCCTTATTTTGCAAACAAAGAAACAGAAGTTAAAATGCATTAAATGACAGGTCTAAGGCCACAGGTTTATAGAGTGTACATTAGTTCCCAGCTCAGCTGACCTCTAATTTAGTGCAATTTTCTCTCTACCTGTGTTACTAAAGGACTCACATCCTCACAAAACCTCTTTCTGTCCCTTCCCCCATATCTGGAGAAACAAAATGGCACTTACCTGTACTGGACTGAACAATTCCAGAGTCTACTGTTTGTCCAAGGAGATCATACTGGTTTAGGCGTGATCCATCTTCTGCTACAACCACTGAGCGTGCTGGCTCTCTGGTCCACTCATAAACAACTTCTGCTCTTGTATAAGCATCTAGAAGAAAAGAATGGAAAATTATCCATGTATTTTGCCACTTCAATTTTCCTAATTTGTTGCTGTGTTTTATCAGTGTCAAATTTTTCTTTTTTGTTTTTTGAAACATAGTTAATTGTATATGTCTGTGAAGTACACAGTTGCATATCAATAGCTATGTGTAATATGTGATGCTCAAATCAGGATAATTAGTATATTCAATATTATACAATGTTATCATTTTTCATGACCCTTTATGGATTCCTCCCTTAGCGCCCCACCTCTGTTAACCTCAGTCTGTTCTCTCCTTTCGAAAGTTCAACATATTATTGTGATTATTTTATCTTTCTTTCTTTCTTTTTTTAATTTTACTTTTTATTTTTTTAGCTCCCACTTATGAGTGAGGACATGTGGTATTTCTCTTTCTGTTGCCTGGCTTATTTCACTTATCATAATTTTCTCTAAGTTCACCCATGTTGCTGTGAATGACAGGATTTCTTTCCTTTTTCTGGCAGAGTAGCATTCCATTGTGTAAATATACCATGTTTTCCTTATCCAGTCATCTGATGAATGTCATTCAGGTTGGTTCCAACTCTTCACTATTCTAAATATTCACGATCATATTTTCTTTCTTTCTTTTTTTTTTTTTTTTTTTTTTACCGGTAAGGGGATTGTAACCCTTGGCTTGGTGTCGCCCGCACCACGCTCAGCCAGTGAACACACGGAGACGGTGCTCAAAGATCATATTTTCTATCTCATGGTTCCAGAAGGAGGCTATAGAAGGGGAGCTCATATCCCTTAGTTTGGAAAACTAAAACACACTTTCCTGATTCATTCAGTCATTTGTTTACTCTTCTGACAAATGGCTATAAAGCATCTACAAAGGACAAAGTACTGTGCTGGACATACAGTAGTGAACATAATGAACAAGAGTCCTGATCTCATGGTGCATATGTGGTTGTGGTAGAGACCAAAACTGATAAACAAATAAATATATAATTTCAAATAGTATTAAGTGCAGTAAAGCCATATACAACTGGGTAAAGTGATAGACAATGAAGGTGGTGAGGGCCCACATTAGGTAAGGAAGGAGACTGAGAGAGTCTCTGCAAAAGTGACACTTCTCCAAGTGCATAACAGAAATGAGGGGGTGAGCCATCTGAAAGTCTTGGGGAACAGTTTGCCCAACAGACAAACTACCAAGTATTTTCCTTTATACAGACAAAAGCTTGACTAGTTTGAGGAAGACCAATGTGTCTAGAGTGGAGTGAATGAAAGGTGAAATGAGGTTAGATGCAGAAGCTTGGGTCCAGATTATGTAAAGTCAAGGGAAGGTCATGATAAATGTAAAAAATAACACTGTAAATTTTGCTGCATGTCCATTTGCAAAGGATGTCTGAGTTTACTTTCTTTTTTTTTTATTGGTTATCTTTTTATGCATATTTACTATCACAATGATGATGAGTTGCATTGCATAGATCTTCTCAATCGTTTTCATTTCCCATGTCACTTTTAACCTAGCCATCTCCTGTAGAAATTGAGTCAACAATCCTGATCTTTATTTCATGCAGGTTGGAGGAGGAGAGTGTATAGAGTGAAAGAGAAGGATAAGAAGGAATTCCATAGTTTTTCTGAGTTCTAGTCACAAAACACCTACTCAACATAAGTTGGAATGATAGTACGTACTCTCCTCTATTTAGATGCAAGGTGATGTTAAAAATTTCAGGAACATGACTCTAGAAAAATCAAACTGTTTCCAGAGTTTTTGAGAGGAAGGCATAATATCAGAAGTTGGCCTTACTATGAAAGCTTGACTCTGGGCAATGGCCAACTTCTCTATTAGACTTAGAGGGCACAGTGCCTAGGGCCCACACTATTTTTAGGAGGCCACAAAAATATTTTAATTTCTTTTAAAAATCAGAAGATAAAATGAATCTAATCTAACCAGAATTATATTCATCTTTATGCAGACGTAGTCATAATATATATGAGGAATGTCCCCCAAAGGCCAAAGTGCCCAGGGCTCATAGAAGTCATGATGTGACCCTGCTTGACCCAACCTCCATCAAGAGGTGACCAGAGTTGGATATTGTGTTCAAATATGTATTTTCCCAAGCCAAAATATTATGACATGTAAAGTCATGGTTATGTAAAATTATGGTTTCCTTTTTACATGAAAATAAGGCTGCCTGAAAAACATATGCAAGCCATGACCCTCAGCCTCTAAAACAAAGCTCCTTCGTGGTCACTTCTCTCTGTGAGTGATGCAGAAAAATGTAGTCACTGTTCCTGATTCTACATAGGTATCTTTTCTGCTCCAGCATTATTTCTGGATCAACTTACAGGCAGATACCTTCTTAACAAATTTTTCCAGACGTTTGATAGAATAAACTAAAAATTAGCTTAGTGGTTCATGAGCTATGTAAAATTACAAATGGATGATTTAGAATTTGTCTTTATTGACTTTTCATTTTTAATTGTGGTTATCCTTGTTTATTTAAAGAAAAAAAGCATTTCAGCATTATATATAGTAGGAGGATTGCATCTATTAAGAGGGTATAAATTTGATTTTATTTTCTTAATCTCTTAGAAAAGATCAGAACACACTAGTTTGAGAAGGACCATATTGCTTACAATTTGTAGGTACCTCTGTTCAGTAAAATGGTGTTCTGACCATATATGCTTATTTTTTTAATGGAAGCATCTTACCTAAGAAGACACATTGAGTTTATTATGGTAGCATGGAATGACTGAATGTTCAATTTGGAAGGGCCTTAAAGGTTATACTGTTTAATCACATTTTAAAGATGGTAAGCTAAGGAATAGAACATTAAATTATTTGTTTAAGGGTGCTTTGCTATTTAGGGGAAAACCAAAATAAAAACTTAGTATGCCATTCATTCTATTCTACCTTTATTTACAGGGTTTTTCTAGGCAAAACCTGGATATTATATGCTCATAAGCCAAGCAAAGATACTTGGTGGTCATGTTGACAGCAATGAAGCCAATTCCACGTCTTGCATTATTTCACAGCAAACTAAACCTCTTATTACTATTAGCAACAGTGCACCATATCTTTCTATACCTTGTCATGTGTTGTCACTGGGCTACTACTATAATAGCAGAGAAAAAAAAGTATTACCATTAACTTCGAATCCATATAATTTTGGTGTCTCACTTCTTGCAATTTCTTAGAAAAAGGATTGTGTATGAAAATGTGTAGACCATCTACTACAAATATGGCATTATTATGAAGGTGAAGATTACTCATTATTCACATCTCTCAACGGAAATCTTCCAAATGAGGAGTAAATTCACATGATAAAAGCTGGGTTTTAAAATAGAGAAAACAGATATACTTAAAGCCATAGGATAGGTAATATATCCTATTTTCTTAAAGTTCAGCAGCTGAAAAGTAGTTTCTATGAAAACTTACTTGATTTTTGACTTCAGTATAAAGAAAAGAAAGTTAAAAAGAGTCTTCAAGTACTTAGTAAAAATTTTTAAGCTATGATTTCAAGTAAATCATATTACCTAAGAAAATGTTTAAAAAATAAACAAAACAAAATGGTTTTAGTTGGGGTTATAAAAGACCTTTGTAGTAGTACAACACTGGGAACATATACTTAGTATCAAAAGTGCAGCTTCTAATTGACACTATCACTCCACTTTTTAAAAAATATATATTGATGAATTTCACTTCACTTTTATGAACCCGTTTTTCCATTTGTATGACACAGATGAACTAAATAATTTCTGAAGTTATGTGCTGTTTGGAATTCATTTAAATTTATACTCATTTCTCTCCCCTAGTTTGCAAGACACTCTGCTTGATAATCTGTAAGTCAAGATAACCATTTATTAAGTCCTTACTATATCCAACACTTGCCTAGATAGTAATATGAGAATCCGTAAGCCAAATCTCTTCTTTTACAACCAAAGTCTCATTTTGTGTTTTCCTCAAAAACAAAGACAAAAACAAAAACAAACAAACAAACAAAAAAACAGTTCAGAGATGACAGCTGTATCATGCATATTATTTTTGGATTAACTGACCTTGTGAAGAAGCCAGAGAAATAATTAGACAACAAATGGGCTTCCACTGCCTCTTCCAATACCAATAGCAGACAATGGTAACTAGCAATGGTACTCTCCCTCAATAAACATAACTGTCTGAGACTGTATTTCAATGTCAAGTCTTCTCTGTTCAATTCCCAACAGTCCTAAATCTTCTTTTTTGAAGAAAGGGACATTTAAAGCCTGATTATTGTAATCTTTACCCATTCAATAAATATTTATTGAGTGCCTGCATTGTTTTAGCCTCTGTACTAGGAAATATTAGCAAATGTTACTCTCATGGAGATTGCAGTCTCCAGACAATAAAAACTGTGAACCAATAAATAAAACTAATAATTATTGCTGTGATAAATGGTAGAAAATAAATGCATTATGATCAAGAACACTGGTGGGGCAGTATGCAAATTTCAATAAAGTCATCAGGGAAGGCCCTAAGAAATGACATTTATGCTGAGATGTGGAAAGATAGAAGAGGCTAGCCAAGCTAACAACCAATGGAGTAGTAATCCAGGCAGAGAAAACAGCATGTGCAAAGGCCCTGAGGTGGAAAACAGCTTACTTATTTTTGTTTATCTTCAGCTTTCTCATATAAGACATATATTTGTTTTCTACTCTTCATATACTTCCCTCTTCCTCAAACACCTCCAATATCCTTCAGGTTGACAATGCACCCAATTGAAAGTATTTACTTCTCAGCCTCCTTTGCAAATAGTATTAGCAATATTTCACATATTTGATTAATGGAATGTGAGCAGATTCCTGGTAGGATTTTAGGGAAAGCTTTCATCTATTTGATGCAGACACTACTTCTTTCTTTTTCACCAACTATTTACCTTTATCTTGAAAGCGGATTCAATGGCTGGAGCTGTAGCAACCATGTTGTGATGAGGAAGAACATCTAAGAATGTCTTAACACATCAGCTTTGCTAAGGCACTGAAGTGACCAGCAATTAACCAATTATCATTTATGTTTCTACATCTTATATGAAAATAGACTCCCTCTTTTTTTCAAATATTCTCACTGCTGAAAACATTCCTAATTAAAAAAAAAAAAAACCCACGTAATTCATTGTTCAAATCAGGACTTTTTTTTTTTTTTTGTGACCGGTAAGGGGATCAGAACCCTTGGCTTGGTGTTGTCTGCACCGCGTTCAGCCAGTGAGCGCACCGGCCATCCCTATATAGGATCCCAACCTGCGGCCTCGGCGTGCCCTGCGCCGCTGCGCTCTCAGCATCCCACTCTCCTGAGTGAGCCATGGGTTCGGCCCCAAATCAGGACATTTTTGAAGGTAAAAGGGGACACTATCCGTAATCATATCAGTATATTAGGCATAAATCAGTACTAAGCAAACTTTGATGTGTGATCTTCCTTACTACAAGGTTATATTGTGGATTACATGAGCTTATGAATGTACAAATAGTTACTATACTGTCCAGCATGCAAGTAATACATAATACTTATTATCATTGTTAAAAAATGGAACTGGTTATCAGGAGACATAATAGCTCATGAAGTAGAGTATATTAAATTAAGAAAAAGGTGGAGAGAAGAGAGTTATATCATTGAAGTCCTATTTAGCTGACAGCTTTTGAAGTAGTTTACCCATGGGTTTCAGAATAGAATGAAGTTTAAAAATAATATTGTCTCTCCATGACTAGTACTGCTAGGAGCTTGAAGGCCCTTTTCTATTTTCTTTGTTTGCTGTCTTCCTGCACTACCACTATTTTCCTTCTATGAATCATATCTTCACCAAAATAGTTGCTCAAACTGCTTGACAAGTGAGAACAGAAAGCTGGTTAGGTGGTCCTGGAGTGGACTCAGTCCTTGTGCGTAATTCCCCTGAAGGAAACTGGGAATATATTTTCCCCACTCACTTCATGCATGTTACTACTCCAAAGCAGAAGGATAGAAAGAAGACCAGAGACCTGACTTTCCAGACCACTGTTCTCTAGGCTCCTCTGAGATGTGCCCAAATGTTTTCAAACAGCACAAACCAAGAAAATTATTATAAAAAGGTTTTATCTAGGATACTTTCAAGAACATTAATATATAGATATATACATAAATTCCATAGGATATACAAACTGATCTAGAAGTTTTCTAAGACTATAACTAGGGTAGGTTTTTTCTTAGAAACATCTGTTAGATATGGGTGCCATTACTGATAAATACCTACTTATTGCCCTTTGCTACTTACCAATATTTATATCTGGTAAACAAATTGAATTATTCTTAAGATGAAACAAGTGTCAGTAATGATATAAAAGAAATACAATGATCCCCATTTATTGGGAGGAAAATATTACCCATGAGATATAAGCATCCATACTCCACTTTTATTTATTAATACAACTTCAACAAAATTAGAATTCTTTTACTAAATAGTTCGATCCATTTTTTCTAGTCTGATAGAGAATTACTCTTCTCATGAAATAACATTAAAAAGTGAAGTTGAGGATTACTACTTATAGAAAGCCTTTGCACTATATTGCTATTTAAATTTTCTTGATGCTCTTACCTACCTGTCACTCTGACAGACATAACCAATTGTAGGTCCCTTACTTAAAGACTTAGTTTTTATAAGAATAAAAAAATGTACATAAATTTACTCACAGCTTCCAAATTTTAGTGGGCAGGCATGGGCATCCATAGGGAAGTCCTCCAAATGCATTGGACATTCAGCTCTCACCGTCAGCCTTATTTATTAAGGAAAATATAGGATACAAACAACAGCCATATAGATTAGACACTTCAAGATACACACCAGTGGGATGTTATTAAGTGTAGCAAATACATCAGCAAAGCAGGAGAAAGAGGCATAAACTGCAGAGCTGTGACAAAATGTTAATAATCATAGGATTTAAGGTAAACTTTTACAACAATGCCTGTATTCTATCCATTTTTTGTTTGCTTGCTTTGAAAAAATAGGTGACATCTGATTTTGTACAATGGGCAAGCATTGCTAACATTTTCCACAACAAACACCATCAACCAGTCCACCTAGCTACAGCAAATTCTTAGAGAATAAATCTAGGTGTTGGCAAATAAACACTTGCAGAAATAGTAACTCCTTCTTGGTTCGAAGACATGGAGAGCAAGAAAGAGAAAAGAATTTTTCTTGTCCTAAATGCAGCTCTCTACCTCCGCCCCTAAAATAACACCAAATGCCTAAACAAAGAAGTAGGCTAAGGGGGAAGTGTCCTCAGGCTTTGTGAGATTGAGATTGATGTGAAGTCTCCTTGAGAGTTTACATGTGATCTGTCTGTATTCCAACCATTTAGTTTTATTTAGAACTCTGCTGCCAAACTGAAGCCGGGACTCTGCTATGCATCTCTTTTGTCCCTGGAATGTTTGGGAATGTAAATTCTATTCATGTTTTCTAAAAAGGATTGTTTTTGTTCTCAGTTTGTGGAATTATGAAGAAATTTTTACTCATTTCTCTCATGTGATTTTTAGCAAGTTTATTTACCCATATCATTAAGTTGCTCAAGAAATATGGTAAGATGGCTTTATGGCCAATAAAATCATTAAGTGACTATAATACTGATGAAAGCAAATGAAAGATGCATAAATTAGCAATTACATTACATTCTTAAATCAAACTATTAAGGAAAGCAATGCATTAACAAAAGTGGTGAGAAATTTAAGAGATGGAAGATATAGGTTAGTTATACATTGCGTATAGTTATTATATAGATTAGTTATACATTGCGTATATCAGAAACCATTAATCAGTAAATAATTCAGGATACACAAATCACTCCTCAGAAAATTGCCACCTGGGAGGAATGGACACTGGATTTAGGTTCAAAGGCAAGTGTAGAGTGTTTTACAGGGAAGAATATCTCAAATTTCAAATATAAATAGGTCCTGGTTGAATGATCGGAAAGTTCTCAACCCATGTGCCCACTGGTTCTCTATTCTATTTTTCTCTTCTAGTTTTTAGTTTTGATTTGTTTTGTTTTGTTTTTTCCATTCTTTAAGTCCTATTACACATTGACTAGGTAGGTCCAATATCTAATATGGTTCCTGAAGCATTTTTTTTCCTTCTCATTTGAATGTTTGTGTTTGAAAAGCTAGGCATTCTGGCAGTTTTCTTCAAAGGCAAAATATCACTCTATTTCCATGCTAAACACAACACACTAAATTGAAGATTTTGCCTTTATTACTTTTTTATACCAAGAAAAAGAAAAAAAAAATGAACAGTCTGAATTATCCTGCTCTGGACAGATCTACAAAAACAATATTCTAACAGTTCATCTGGGAATGAAAACCTGCTGCTTTTAAGAATGAGTTCTGGAAAATTTTTATTTTCTCATGAATTAAGAATATTTTTAAACACCACTTTGTTTTCTTTAAAAGTCATCAACACTTTGTTTGATTCATAATTTCTCCATTCAACCATAAATGAATAGAGCACTTACTAGATATTGGGCTTTGCAGTAATAATGAAAATGGGGAAATGTTATAAACCAAAAATATGGCTATAAACATATATATGTAGTCTTCTGTTTAAGCAAAATTAACAATATTTATATTCTCAATCTAGGTGGCAATACCACTGTGAATTCATATACTTTTTCAAATACATATTTCCACACGAATCTGTTTTCTTTTAAGAATTTTTTTAACTTTTTTTTATTTTCTGTCTTTTGTTCCTTCATTTTTAGTAGAAATATTTTCAGATATACACTGTTAGAAAGCCTCTAGAAAATTAATCTATAACATACTGAAATACAGTAATATATGAAGTTTATAATAGGGGAAGGATTGAATTAGACATTCAATTCTAGTTCATATTGAATTAGAGCAGGTTGGAGTGATATCATGATATTAATACATATCATAAACATTTTGTTGGTTTTTATAATCATTTTATTTACCATTTTAACGCTCGGATTATACTTCAGTAAGTTAAATTTTCACAGCAAAGTAGTTTTTAAGGTTGAAAACAGAAAAAACCAGAAAACCAAATCTTCCACCACAACCCATCAGCTTGATGATTGCCTGCAAGGGGAAGAGAATAACGTGCAGAAAGACCAACCCAGGAGAACACAGCCATTCTTACCTCATGGTGTACAATAATGTGCCATCCTCTGTGATCCGCAGGAGTTTGTTGGGCATGGTCATGTTGTGGGCCACTGACTTTTTTCCATTGTGAAAAAAGGTGTCCGGAGTCCAAATTTTACTTGCCATTAGGTTATTTAACCGGAGAACTGTCATGGGTCCTTTAAATTTTAACCTTTCATCCTTCCAGCTTTGACGGAAAAATACATCTATTGTATATTCCTAGGTAATTTTGGAAAATGGCAAAGAGTTCACTGTGCTGTATTTTGCAATTTAAATATCTCTACACAGACAACACAAAATTTTTTGTATCTTTGGAATTAAAATGTTAGCTAGGTGATGTTTCTAGAAATTAACTTGTGGTAGTATGCACATACTGATCTCAGGTGAATCACTGGTTGGTGTAATGATTTTTCTAAAGTATCTAAAATGCCTGACACATTTCTTGGTCATATTTTTTTTTTGGCCAATAATCTTCTCGAATATATAAAATGAAAGTAACACCCCACTCCCAACCCCTTCCCAACCCGACTACACTGGCACCTGAAGAAATAGAATATATTACAATTAAAAACAAAATCATATTAGAGCGGATTATGTACAGAAAAATGTTTAAATTAAATAATTCCATTTATAAAAATAAAGCATAGTGTTTTAGGGTCCTTCCATGGTCTCTGATCAACCTCATATCCAAACCCAAATCAATCGTGGTTTTAATGTGGGTGTGAAAATACCGTCTTCCTTTTGGCTAAACATATTTCTCACAGATAATGTATATATACTTTCAATTCTCCTACACAATCAAGAAGATTATGAAAATAAGAAATCCATTTCTACTAGTACTTTGGATCTTTTCCTAAATGTTAAAAAAAATAAAGAAGAATGCAAAGTGTGTGGGTGAGTGTGAGTGTGTGTTTGTGATTGTATATGCGTATAAGTCACATGAGAAATGTGTGAAGCTCATCAGCGTTCACAGCTAGGGAATCTATTTATTTGAATAAACACAGCATTCCTTATGGCAATGCCCAGAGACAAACATCTGTTAATCTGAAAACAAGCAATTTGACTTACCAGCTCCTAAAATTGAAAAGGGTAATATCCATCTTCTTTGCAGTACTTGCTACACTGGCACTAAATTTGAAACTCAATGGTTTGAAATAAAGATTACCATATTCTCCATTAATTTTAGCATGCTACAAATCAGAAGGACTAACTTGAAAACATCAACGCTACATTTTCCTAATCCTCTGAGCCCTGATGCATCAGAAAGGAGTTGTTTTCTTAATTTTATACATATCATCTTTAGGACATAGAAAATAAATAACGTCTGTCTCTAGGCATTTTGTGCATTTGTTTGACTACCTGTCTCTTTCCCAGGGTTTAAGCAAAACTGGGTAAAAACTGAATGAAAGTGCCTCCTTCTGGCACCTGTTTAGCATTGCTGATCCCTTACTGATCAAGTAACTAATAATTATTATTGCATGGTTTATAATGCATCAAGCAGAGTGATAATCACTAACTGAAATGGAAACAAGGAAGTGAAACATGATGCCAATATGTCTTTCCAGTCAAAACAAGTTACCTTGTTTATTGGTTAGATTTTTTTTGTGCCTGGAAGTGTCAGATGCAAGGCACTACAATACATGATAGGAATTTACTCACTAGCAAACCTTTGTTAAGCATCTGTTAAATTCAGCAGAGGGAAAACCTGATTAGGCTTGGTTGCTGTAAGAAAAACCCAGGGAGGGGTAAGATGGGCACAGGATAGTATTTCCGATGAGGAGAGAAAGGGGGAGGTGGACTGTGGCTTCTATCAGGAAGTGATACAGTGTGGCAGTGCTTGTCAGAGAAACAGAGTGGATGGATCTACTCTGAACTGAGCACCTTCTCTTCTCTGGACAATTGGTAAGCGTGTGACATAGTGATCTGATATATGATAATATTTCTATTACTCAGGACTTAGCCACATGAGCTCTATTCTTTATCCAACTGAACTACTTTAGACTGGTCAGCAGTAGAGCAGATGGCCACTGGTAAATCAAGGTTCCAGGGGATGTCTAAGCTGACCATGTTCCCATGAATCTAAAAATTTGATTCACTTATTTGAGACTTTTGGAAAATAAAATAAATGTTAACTATAAAATAAACTTAAATTGATTTATTACCAAATATTTGCCAAGATATATTTCAAAGTCAATGATTTCAAGCAATTATGGCAGAACTTGCCAAAGTTCTGATGTTTACAAGTTTATTATATTTACAGCCAGGTTTATTTGCTAATGGCAGACAATGAAATCCCCAGATTCGTTTAAGACATTCTTTTTTTTTTTTTTTTTCCTTTTTGTCTTTTTTCGTGGCCGGCAACGGATTGCCACCCTCAGTGTCGCGCCCATACCGGACCGGGACCGGCAATGGGATCGCAACCCTCGGCGTTGCCCCCGCACCTCGCTCAGCCAGTGAGCGGGAACCGGTCTGTATGTGGGATCCGAACCCTCGGCGGGAGCGCCACTGCGCTTCCCAAGCAGCGCACTATCACAGTGCACCACCGGGCTGGCCCTCATTTAAGACATTCTCCCTTCAAATATTGTACCAGTCACACACACATACTTATATGCACAGAAAAGGAACAACACTAACTGGACAAGCATTAGTTTCATTCTCCCCTTTGTTAGAAGTAGAAATGGAAACTGAGGTATAAAGCAGTTGATAATGATCAGCTTCTGCTTAACCAAGACTGTAAATATTTGGTCTCCCATTTTCTGGGAAATGCTCCTGTGTGCTTGCCTTTGTAGCAGCAGATGGTTCCCAGTAGCCACCTGTATGATGTGATCTTCCCCCATGGCCACAGTTTATTAGACCAAGAATGGGCATCAGGACCAAGATGGGTCGGGGCAAGGTTATAGCACAGTGGTAATGAATGTAAGTTCCAAACCTACAGGCTGAATGGCCTCAGGTAATTTTTTACCCTCACTAAGCCCCAGTTTCCTATCTATAAAGTGAGTATAATGTACTTGGCTATTGTGAGAAGTGAGCTAATACTTGTGAACAGCTTGCAAAAATGCCTAGAAGATAGGAAGCATTTAGAAAATAAAAAATTAGTATTTGTCTCCCATTTTATTATTTTATCAACACAAATTTATATTAGATTTCTATGTAACTGGGAATTTAAAAGTACTATTTCATTGGAAATTTGTAGAGCAGGAACCCTGAAGAGAGTGAGAATGAGGTCATAACCAAGCAAAGCAAAAGCAGAAGGCAAAGGAGGAAACTTGATGGAAGACAGTCTGAGTAGGAAGCTTTGCTGAAAAATTTGTTCAAGTTTTAGGGTTTCAGCCCCCACTACTCAAGAGAAAAGTCTCTCTGAGTTACTCTGTTCAATTGAGTAAGTCCCTGAAGAATATGAGCCTTTTTCTGAAGATCTGGGACAAAACATCCGCTACGTTTCTAAATAAATATTGTGTTGAAGTGTTCCCGCTTGCACCATTTTTTACCATCTGTGTGTGCTTTCACTTAATACATTTTAAGCACTATGGAAAACAAGGCTGTATGATTGTGCTGCCTGGATATTTCTGTCAGAACCTGGTGCCCTGGGAATGTGCTGTTTGATTGCCAATTAATGGTTTTTAAAATAAATTTAGGGAGATGTCCTAATTTTGTTTTTCATACCAGATGAATTCAGATGCCCTGGGAGCTATGGAGTCTCCAGGGATGAACGGCCTGGGTTCAAGTTGATACACTTAGCTAGCTAGTCACTTTCTTTCTCCAGAAAATATGGATAAGAATAGTATTTGAGGTTTGGCATGAGGATGAAATAAAATATGATCTGTAAAGCCTTTAGCATGGTGCCTAACATATTGTAAACATTCGCTAATGTTAAATGTTGTTATGGTTATTATTATTAATTAGATATTTTATTAGTTCTCACTTTAATAACTACAAAGCTTTTCCTGTTTTGAAAAATAGCTTTGTCATTCTGCCTCTTAATTTTGATTGTCTCTAAATCACACTGCTCCCTCCTTCTTATTCAAAATTCTCCCGTAATATGATTTAAATGATTAATCTTCTAAAGCAAGATGGAAAGATGCAATTTCAACTATCCACTTAGCAAATTAGTTGCAGACCTATGCTAATTAGATCTCTTGACAGAACAATTCAAACACTGTCTGGTTTAGAAGTTTTAGGCTTGAGCACTCTCTCTGTTATTCCTATCTGTTATTTGACCAGAGTTCATACATGAAACGTAGTTCATGATAACCACAGGGTTAATTGTATATGAAAAATGCTACTGTGCACCTTTATTCTAAGACAAAAACAAACAAACAAACAACAACACTGGTTTCTTAAGTCACAACTAACCTGAATCGATAATTCAAAGCATGGTAAACATTTTTCAAGGGAAGAGAAAGGTTTTTGATCACATGTAACTTCATTTGAGAGGTGTCACTTAACTTCTTTTGAACATCTGCTCTTTGTGGGGCACCATGCCAGGTGCTGGAGACAGAGAAAGAATAACCTTTTTTTTTTTTTTTTCTTTGTGAAGGGTTTTTATTAGTAGTAGGAGAAGGAGTATTGTTATCAGTGTGTAACGTTTGTAATGTGTCATCTCCTCTCTTTATGTTTTCATCAATGAGAAAACAACTTTGTCAGTGTAAAAGTCCTGAATGTTTTTCATTCTCTCACACTCTTCTACTGGGGAAGGGGAGAAGGGAGGAGTAACTTAATCTGATGGGTGAATTTGGAAGAAGAAATCAATCTTGCTTATTTCATCCCTTTCCTCTGGTCTTTTTCATTGTGGGTGCTGTCTGTCCATAAGGCTGACAAATTCTGCTGTGCTTCTCCATGCTGGAAGTTTCACATGGACAATCGACACCAGAGCAGAGGGAGGTCAACATTGCCTGGGACTGGATGAGTTAATATGTTGACTCTGGTGCTTACTCTTTGCAAACTCACTTGTCTGCAGATTCAAGCTACATTCTCCAATATTATCATTATTAGTGATAAATATGATATTTTTACTTCCATGTCCTTTACTCGATTGTCTTATTTCTCAAAAGTTGTTATTTATTGGGTCCCATAAGACCTCAATTGTTTAATAATAATATAGTCTCCTAAACCTGTTATCTGTAAGTAGTAATTCACCACTTACTCTAGATCGGCAATGCACTAATACTATGACACATGTGAAATAAGTGTTCCTTCATGATTTCAGGCATTGTTTTAGGAAAATAAGACATTTATTTATATAAGAGAAATACCTTTACAAAACAGTACTAGCTATGTGGCCAAAAGCTAAATGGTATTTTATAGTTAATAAAGGTGATTAGAATGCCAAAAGGGAAAGTTAATTTCTTATCAGATTGATAAAAAATAATTTCATCAAGCATTTGGGCCTTGATTTGGCCTGCGTGAAAATATAAGATTTAAGTTGGTGGAGAGAAGAGGAAATTTCCATGAGGTCTACATTGCGTAAGGGTCAAAGACAAAAATAACAGTAGCTACTATTTATTAAGCACTATTTATAGACCCTTTATATATCACATTTAAAATTTTTAAAAGTCTTACAGGGATAGGCAGCTATAATAATATATACATTCGATAGAATTTGAGCCTTAGAAGCTTCAGCAATTTGCCCAAGGTCATGTTGGTGGTGTTCGTAAGATTTGAATTCAGTCCCCTTGATCATAGAGCCAGTCCTGTTAACCCCCAAGCAAGATTGCCTCACAGAAAGCAGGACTCACACAAACGACTAAAGTAAATAGTTAATATCAGGAACAAGTGAGGGAGATTGTGGCGAAATTATTTATAGATTGTATGGAACACAGGCAGAAGAATTTAAATGGTAAATCTATCTGGAACCTATTTATAAAAGTGCCATGAAAGAAAAATGTTATAGGAAGACTGAGTTCCAACATGGGAGAGTCACAGTGGCTCCTCAGAGTGTTCGATTTTGCAAAAAAATATTTTATCACACAGTATTTCAACAAAGTGGTCTACAGACTGACCATAATGACAAAATGAGCTGTGAGAGGAATAAATCCACAATTATGGTTGACATTTATATTTTTAGTTCTTGCATAGTAGTAATGGCTAACTTTTGTTGAGGGTTTATTATATGTCAAGTATTGTCTTAAGTGCTTTCATGTTTTAATTTATTTAATATTTGTAAAAACCCCATGAGGCATTATTACTCCCCTTTTATAAATGAAAAAACTGATCCAAAGAAATGCTAAGCAACTGCCCCAAACACACCCTTCTAAGTGGAGGAGCTGGGATTATAAACGCAGGCCATCTGGTTCAGAAAAACCTGCATTCTTCCATACCACTTTGTTGTCTTTCATATACTCCACTGATTTTTATTTGCACAGTTGGTACATTTAAAAACTCGTCTTTAGATTTAAAATATTAATTATCCCCTGAGCCAGGATTTCCTGATGTTTAATTCACAGAATACTAGTTTCACAGAATGTTAACAGGTATCAAATGATGAAAAAGGGATTTGGACAAATATGATTGGAAAACACTTGATCAAATATTGTCAGACAGGTTTCCTTACCTCAGGACTTCTCAGAGCTTTTACCCTACCAAGGTGGTTGTACCGTGAATTTCTACACTTTTGGAAATGTTGGCCTCAGTTGATATTTCCTGTACCTCTTATTCTGAATCACTCTAAGCTACTTTGAAATCAAAGGACTTTTATACTAAGATGATGCTAACAAAAAGCAATTTTGCAAATAATATGTAATTAATATATCTTTGAAATATCCATAATGGTATTTCTTCAGCCTCTTTATGATGCTCTCACATAGAAGCTTGGCTGTTATGAGTTTAGAAATATTATATAATATCTGCAGAGCTCTACAGATTTACAAACACCTATCATATTGAAGAGAAATTCACGTTAACTTATTTGGGTTGGGAAAAAAAAGTATTCATTTTCTTCCCACTCAGTAATAATTTAATAAATGCCTTTTGTAATGATGCAGAATATTTTCCACTGGTGTATTTTATTTTAAATATTTCTTTATCTAATTCTGGTCAAGTGTTCACTCTACTTTTATATTCATTTCCCTTTTAGAGCCAAAATAATTCAGATATTTTAATATTGCTATTATATAACAGTGTTGGCTACCTGAAAACCTAGCGTGCTTGCATCAACATGGCTTCTAACTAAAATGAGAGGTAATTCACACTATATGGATTGCAGAACATAAACCAAGCCAAAGCAAATATTTCAAAGATGGAAAAAAGGGAGACTGCAGTGGTTGACAGCAATAGGACTGGTCTGAGAAGCAGATGGGAATTTTTCTATAATATCAATGCTATATATACATTATATACTACATATTATACACACAGAGACGCACAAAGGTATAGCTGAGCCTTTTCAGATTTCTCCCTAAATAGTCTATGTATTCCTTAAAATAGGTAAATTTAAAAATACCCCAAGAAAACCAAAGATGCAGTGTGACTTACCATATCATGGTCTGAAACGGGTCCAAAACTGGTGACGAAGATGTCAGTCTTCACTTCAGTTACACGCTCTGATGAAGCAGGAAATTGGGCCAGTGAGTGTCGATCAACAGCTCTTATTAGATCTCACAACCACATATTCACACCCAAATGTGAAATGTATTGGCTTTGATTAGCTATTTCTAAAATAGGTCCACTGTGTAGTCCTGATAATTTACTGCTTACACATGAAATTTCACAGTTAATATTTTCAATGGAGAATGGAGCCTAAATATGCCACTTTGGGAGGCAGACTTTATGGAAAACTCAGCTGTTGCTTAATGAATTCTTCAAGAATGGACACACTTACCTAAAGGATACTTAACCACTTCATATTATAATAAAAATATGTTAGCATATGGGTATGGCTTAAGCTTAAATATTTTTATACAGCAAGGCAGAACTTCCAGGTATTTAGGCTACTCTTGGGAAGTACACAGTATGTTTTAGCAAGCTTTGTTAACTCTTTAAGGACTCAAGAGTATGTTTTATAAAAGATTACTTTCTTGCACTAAATCATAGCCGAATTAACCAAATTACTCCCTGGGAAAAATATGACAACCGATATAAGTATCTTCAATTTTGAGGATGAGGAGAACATATTATGGTCTAGATTGTTTCAATTTCAATGTGATTTTATTATATTGGTCTCAGATGGCACATATTTCAGACAATAAAACATATGTATTACAGTTCCGTGACAACTCAACACAGATATTTTCAAAGAAATACAGTCACTTAGCAAGAAATAGAAAAACGTGGCTTACAGAAAAGGAAGCAATTTGTTGAGGAGTGAGAAAGAAAAAGATAACTTCATAATTTTTACCTTTAACTCTGAGAAATCACAGTCCAGTACCTTAAGCAGTACATTTCATTTATCCGGACCTTTGTATCACTAGCATAAGGACATTAAAAAGGTGATCCAATATATGAAATAAAAAATTCTTTGAGCTGGCATTTCTTCCTCAGTAATTTACTTTAAATAGTTCATACTTTCAGTATAAACTTCTCCCAAGGAGGTCACGTAATACACTATATAACATGTGTACCTCAATGGATACAATAACTTGGAGTTCGAGATATTCCCTTAAATAATCATAACCATTCCATTGTTTTTTGTTTCTGCCAAAAACAAAAACAAAAGCAAAAAACCCTAAAATCGTTGGCTCCAAAACACTTGAATGAGCCCCTTCATGTAAGAATTATCTGGGGTTTATTCTTTAAAAAGTTCAAAATGGGGACATAGCTTGTGGCAATGAGAGGAGAGTTGTGTTTCTGGAACGCACTAACAACCTCGGCTTTAATATGCTGTGGAAACTGTGTGGAGTTTGAGAGGCACAGTTGTCAGCAATAAGTCTAAGGGATCGTAATCATTCTCCTACTGTAATGTCCCCGTTCTCATGCCTTACAGTAGCCATTTTCCTAGTATATATACCTCTTTCTCCAACACGCACTATCTCACCACATGTATTTTTTACTAAACTAACTCTTTTTCTTAGTTAAAAACTTCTGTTATTTTTTAAGATTCCATCAAGAGCTCACACTTTATTAGAATGTTATAACTGTCTTTCAATTAAAAACAATAATAAAAAAATCTAGGCTATGAAAGCTAGAATGTATCATGTTAAATTAGTTCATTTTTGTCCTTTCTCTTTCAACATTTCCCTTTCTGTATCAAGCAATGGAGTCATCACTTGGATTTTCTTGGATATAATGAAATGTACATTTATTATCATGAAAAAAGTACAAAAAGAGAAAGACAACAGGTAATAGAGCCTTGGGCACATTTTCACTCTAAATTCGTTGTGCATGCCCATTACTGGAAATAATTTTATTTTGTATTATTTATAGATTAATTCCTTTTAGTTAACTTCATCTGAAACTGTGTGCTCAAGGACAATTAGTATCTAAATTATATTTTTACACAAGTCTTTATATGATCAGATGTTCCTGTTTGGTTTTTTGTTTGTTTGTTTTCTAATTAGTTGATTCAACTTCACTTTGTTTCCAAGTGTAAGGTTTATGATAATTATCTAGTAGAACTTAGTGATATGTAATCAAAATTACGTACATTCTTCTCATTTTTTTTTACTTGTAAAAGAATGTTCATTTAGGGAATATGTACTAATTAATTCCTGTCAGCATACTTGCACGTACATGGCAGCCTAGGGCAGCTCTCCTGGAATCCTTTATTATCTGTTTCTTGAGTGTGGGAGAGCATAATTTCTGCACTTTAAGGGAACTCCCGAAGGTAGCTAGCTTTCCAAAACTGGCTCACCAGATGTTTTAGGAGCAACCAATCTGCACTATCCAGCATGATAAAATGCCCTGAAGTAGTAAGGTGTCCACCTGCCAAATATACAGGTCATTTCCCTCTATTGTTTTTAGATTGTTAATAGATGACCATGCTATATAAACAACATATAATAAAGCCTAAAAGCCTGTGTATTAAAGATGATTTTATCAATCAAGTAGAACATGAAACATGGTTAAATATATGCATATTTATTTCCATGTATAATTGTTTCTGTGCCATACAGAGATTAGGCATAAATGAAAAGCAATTGACATAAATGACTCTAACCACACATTTAAAACCTATTTGTTTAATGTTATATCTGTCCTTGCCCCTAACCTTATTTACCATACCAGTTCATCATCTTCAGGTACTTCACCTTATTTTCCACTTACCAACTCCTCATTGTTATATTCCAAGGCAAAGACTCTGACCTATAGCCCCTATATCATGGATCTCTCAAATGACCTTCTCACCAAGCACTCAAATCAGTCAACTATCCTTAAAGAGTTTCTGATTTTGCTCTCTATTTATTCTCTTTCTCCTCCAAACGCAGTCACAAAACCATAGGTTTCAGGCAATCTCTCAAATGACCTTCTCACCAAGCACTCAAATCAGTCAACTATCCTTAAAGAGTTTCTGACTTTGCTCTCTATTTATTCTCTTTCTCCTCCAAACGCAGTCACAAAACCATAGGTTTCAGGCAGCAAAATTTCCAAGTTCCAAAACTGAATAATGCCTCTGGGGAATGGCAGTGACCAGTCAACTACTAAATGGAAGGAGTGAGTGATGGCATAGGAGTGGGAGACGCAGAGTGTAATGAAATTCTGCACACCATGTGGAACTTGGGGGGACAGGATCATTAAAAAAGGATGCATGTGTTTGGGTTGAGATCTAAGGGAATTTCTGAGGAACCTCCCTTTTCCCAGTGGTTGGAAAATTTAGTCATCTCAGCTCCTTCCCTCAATGAGATACT